AAACCGTACGTAGGCAGAGAGGGAGGGACAAAAGGGAGAAGAGGACAACAAACGAGGGGCTGCGACAAAAAACTGTTTCATCGAAGTTTCACCGACTTACTCATCAGGAGCCTGAACCCTCTCAAAAACAGTCTGCAGAATCCCCGACAACGGATAGAGGGTTCTCAGAGGGGTATCCGACTGCAGACTTATAATTACACTAATTAATAATCCACCTTAACCCAGCTTGTGGTTAAGCATCAACGACTGCCCGACAACTGATACCCCTCTGAGGTGGTGGGGGCCACCAACCACTGCCCTCGAGGTACCTGTGACGAAAATCAAAGCAGACTATCACTCACCCACACCAGATGGAAAACTCTACATACTGTCGGTTCACATATATATTATTTATATATATATCGTAAGTTTCTACTCTTCTACCTAATCACCACTTAGCCTTTGCTCCCTTGACTCTCGCGAACGCACCGCATTGTCACTTCTGATTTGATGACAAAACATTTGGAAAAGAACTGCACACGCACAGGGGTTGATAACGATCAAGCTATTTCCCTATCTACGTGATACCGGACTTACCTGAAGAGCATTGACCGTATAGAAACAGAAAGGGAGAGGAGAGAGAGAGAGAGAGAGAGAGAGAGAGAGAGAGAGAGAGAGGACTTGCAGGAAGAGGATTTACGGTATAGAAAAAGAAAGGGAGAGGAGAAGGGATCACGGAGGCAACTACGGAAGCGCAGAGAGAAAGAGAGAGAGAGAGAGAGAGAGAGAGAGAGAGAGAGAGAGAGAGAAAGAAAGAAAGAAAGGGAGAAAGAGAGAAAGAGAGAAAGAGAGAGAGAAAGGGAACGAAGACGAAAAGGAATCGGCGATAGCAAACAGGCGAGGAGAAGGGCGACAGAGGAGAGGAGAGAGCGGAGAGAGAGAAGAGAGAGCGGAGAGAGAGAAAAGAGAGCGGAGAGAGAGAGAGAGAGAGAAGAGAGGAGAGAGATACCGCAGAGAGAGAGGAAGAGGAGGGCCGAAGATGGCCGAACGTATACGGAATAACCATGAGGAGGAGAAGGAGGAGGAGGAGGAGGTGGTGGAAGAGGTGGGAGGAGAAGCAGCAGGAGGAGGAGGGAGATACGAAGAGACGCAAGATAGGAGCATGATGGAAACTGGGGGAGGCCAAGGAATTTGACCGGTGGATACCATGACTACCGTCTTCTTCTGAACACAACGCCCTCTGATCCTGAATGTATACAAACTACTTTCCTGGTCCTGTGCAGACATGATGAACATGCATTGTGTTCGTTAGCAGCAGGCGTTTCAATGCGGCCAGTTGCCTCGAGGAAGAGGGAGAGGAGATGTGCGACTAAGGAGAGGAACAGCCGGTCACTGCCGAAAACTGGTCTCCATGACAACCCCTCTTAAAAATTTTAAATAATAATTCAATTTTACATTTATAATAATAATATATTCTATTTGACGATATATATATATATATATATATATTTTAACGACGATCCCCCTCTATCCCATATTCGAAAAATCACTCGGATACTTACCCCTCCTGATGAGGCTAGAACTGGCTCTAGCCGAAACCGGTCGAGGGAAGCCAGACAGCCATCACCAGGGCTAGCCTGGCTATGGCTTCCTCTTGAGCTTTGTTGCAGACCTTTCGAAGAGATACTCTTGGTGTTGCAGAAGAGTAACTTCTGAGTAATTTCCAAGTTTTCACATATTCTGGCGGGTTGTATTTTTCAGCAACTTGCTTATGTGTCGCGTGCCGCTGATCTCAGTCGACGCTGTGATTAGCCTTCGCTCTTTCCAATTCCAATCGATCCCCCTCTATCCCATATTCGAAAAATCACTGCCAAAGCGTGGTATCCATGAGACACCTTTTTCAAAAAATCAAAAAACGAAAAAAAAGACGAGTTCCCTCGTGAGTCCCCATATTTGAAAATCAACGAGGACATTCGAATGGTTCGAACATCTTTTATAAATAATAATAATAATAATAAATTAAATGCTTCACCGGTTCGACGTGCAGGAGGAGCAGCAGCAGCAGGACGATAACGGTGGGCGGAGGCACCCACCCTACCGGTAGCTGACGGATTGGTACACACCCTACCGGTAGCTGACGGATTGGTACACACCCTACCGGTAGCTGACGGATTGGTACACACCC